AAACTCGAGATTTTTGGGGCTGGTACATCCTGCGCGCGGTTGCACTCAGGCCCTTGCAACTCGCCGCGCTTCTGGTCCTCGTGGCTTGTCCGCTGCGAGAGTTTGATATTTCCAGCTCGGGAGCTCCTGGGGTAACCCCAAGACGCAACCTGATGGGTCTCACAATGGCAGCGTTTCCAATTTGGCCTGTGAGGGAGACTGAGCTCCTGCCAAACGGCAGGCAAGAGGGACGGATTTAGATGCCAGCACTTCTTTTACAATATTTCAAAACAACGCTGGACTTTTGTTTTGTTTTGTTTCCTACTAGTGTCTTCATGCGTAATTCAGTATCCTAATTAAAAAAAAAAAAACACTGAAGTCCTAACTGCAGGTTGCGCTTTCCCTTATCCAAGACTTCACGAGGCTTAACCGTGGCATCTGGGTCTTTATCCCCCAGTATCCACCAGGACACAAAAGCTAGGTTTCCTACACTAAATAACAAAAGGAGAACTGGTTTAAGCCACCTCTGCGAAGGCGACCCCCACCCCAAAGCCCTGGTCACACTCCAACCTGCCCCTAGGTATGTTTGTGTAACCAGAGACTGATTGTAGCTGCCTGGACTTCTCTCCCGGGAAGGCTTAGTTTGCTTTCACCGAAGTCGCTTCTTTTCTAAATTTTTGCGGGCGCCCGGAGAAGCTGCCCCTTGGAAGCTCTCTGGCCTGGTCGCTCGACGTCCTGGGAACGGGCCGGGCCGCGCAGGTGTGCCGCTTAGGACTGCGACGAGGAGTCGGCGCTAGAAGGTCTTTAAAACGTTACTTTTCTATTTCGGGAAACAGGTTTTCAAAGAATCAAGACTACGGTGGAAAAAAAAAATGGGGGCTAGGATTTTAGCGAGGAGGATACCGCCCATGGTTAGAGATAGTAAACGAGGAGTGATTGGGGGCTCTGCTATTTCTTCATCTGAACACACTTGGCGACAAGAGCTCTCTGCCAGGTCAGTATATTAAAAATGGAATAGAAAGCGAGACGTTGACCGCTATGGTCTGTTTGAAGAATTCCTTGTCGCCAACTGGTGAGGATAAATGAAACGCAGAGCGGGATGCACTGTGTTCTGAATGCAATCTTGAGAGCTTTTGCGAATTTATGGACTGGGAAGGCGAGCGAGGAGGATGCAGGAGCAGTGGTTGCCCGGCAGTCAAGTAAATGCCGCTCTCGAGGCCGAGCGGGCTCCGGGCCGTGGGAGGGAGGCGAG